GCCCCCAAATAAACTTTTTTTCTCTACAGTTCAAATAAACCTTTGATATGTGCCTGTTAATCATATTGTCCTATTATTAGTCCAGACAGGTCTATCTATTAGGTGTTTTTGTATCCACGGTGTCCACTTACGTTTGTGGTCCACATGGAATTGGGTCAGAGCAATCAGTTTTTGGACAACAATTTCACATGCTGACCAGGGGCTATGACACGCTGTAAGTGCTTTTTTTTTTTTAAAAAAAGTGCTTTTACTAAACCAGCTGTGATAAGCCAATCAGATTGTGTATCCATGAAAATTTGAATTAACAAAGGAAGTTGCTGGAGCTGGGGGCCACGATAAATGATGGAGCTCTGAAGCTTTCTTGAGAACTGCACAAAGTGAGCTGGCTAAGAGGCTTGCTGAGAGAGCCAAGAACAGCGTGCACAAAAATCTAGGGAGAAGACAGCCAGGAAGACAGGGGATGAGGGGATGGGACAGGCTTGGTCCAAAGACTTTCCAATTCCTAGTTCTTGTGCTCCTGAGACCTGATGATGCTTTGCTTGTAGTTTTGGATCAAGAGCTCAGGATCTCTTCTTATTCTGGGTGCCCTTCTCCCTCAGCCCTGTTCTTTGGCTCAAGCAGCACTTGCTCTGTGTTCTGTTCAGTTCTTGGTCTATCACTTCTCTTGGAGTCTCCTGATAGAATAACTATTATTTATTGCTGCGTAATAATTGTATAGAATAGTGGGTTTCATTGTGGCATATTCCTCCAAGCACATAGCATACTTTGATCAGTTTTGTTCCCTAGTACCTAGCCTTACTCTCCCCTGCTCCCTCCCTCTCATCCTCTTTCTCGGTCTCCCTTCTATTTAATGAAACCCTTTATTTTTCATTTTTCTCTCTAGTTTTCACATATGTGAAACCTACAAACCCTTGTCTTTCCCTTAATAAGCTTACTGTGATGCTATCCAGTCCCATCCTTTCTCCTGGAAACAATATAATTTGGCTCTTTATCGCTGAACAAAGCTCCACCATGTACATAGACTTTATTTTCTTTATCTATTCATCTGTTGACAAACACCTAGTCTGGTTTTATAACTTTCATACCTGTGAGAAGAGTATGGTTTGTGACTCCACCGATAATTGTGGGATTGATATAATGTCCACTGTTAATGCTAGACTTCAATGGGGGGGAGTGAGTATGAGTGTGTGTGTGTGTGTGTGTGTGTGTGTGTCCAGAGATGACCTTGGTTACAACCCTAGGGAAACCTTGTTTATTTGCCCTTTTCACAGTTTTTGAGTTGTTAGACTCTGTGGAAGAATACCTTTCAGAGAGCTTATAAGATTAGGAAAATCAGGACCACAGTTGGCAAAATGATGAAAGAATCTCAAATGAGCCTGAGTGAACAAGAACATCTAAGAGCCTATGGCATTGGATGTTACCTTTGCATTGTTATTCTTGAAGTGGAAAAGTCTAACTTACTTCATATGTCTTTCCTTTTCCTTCTAAGTTTGTTTCATCCTGAATGAACTGCTGGATTGCCGAACAGTAAATTGTTCTAAAGGCAATAGTTTCTCCTGGAGACTTGTTGCCATGGTGCTTTGGAGTTGGGCTTGAATCTGAGCTCAAACTGACCACATCCTAGTGTCAGGAGGTTCATTCATTTAGTTACTTAAGAATAATGAGTTTTTGTTTTTGCATGTGTAAAATGCACAGTTCCTTTCTTAATTGGATATGTGAAAGTCACAAAAGTAGCACATACTTTTATAACCTGTCAAAAAAGTTTGAAGGTGCACAGAGAACTGTTATCTTTACCCTTCCCTAGTCAGTACCATCATCCTGATTTAATTCAGATGCTCCTTCAAATACACATCAATATAATCATAGAGCAGATTGAATGAATAAAGTAAATAGTCTATACATTACACATAGGGGTATTCCTCTTTTCAAAATAATAAGATCAGGTTACATTTATTATTCTGCTTTCTTTTCTATTTGTTCTTTTTAGTTATATATTACAGTAGAATGTATTTTGACATACCATGCATACATGGAGTATAATTTATTCTAATTAGAATACCATTCTTGTGGTTGTACAAGATGTGGACTTACACTAGTTGTGTATTCATGTATGAACATTGGAAAGTTTTGTCTGATTCAGTCTACTGTCTTTCCTATTCCCATCCCCCCATCACTTCCCTTCATTTTCCTTTGTCCAATACAATGAACTTCTATTTTTCCATCACCCCCATCCCCTTATTGTGTGTTAGCCTCCACATATCAGAGAGAACATTTGGCCCTTGGTTTTTTGGGGTTGGCTTATCTCACTTAGTATGATACTCTCCAGTTCCATCCATTTACTGGCAAATGCCATAATTCTATTCTTCTATGTGGCTGTGAAATATTCCATTGTGTATATATACCACATTTTCTTTATCCATTCATCTGTTGAAGGACACCTAGATTGGTTCTATAGTTTAGCTATTGTGAATTGAGCTGCTATAAACATGATATGGCTATGTTACTATAGTATGCTGATTTTAAGTCCTTTGGATATATGCTGAGGAGTAAGATAGCTGAGTCAAATGGTGGCTTCATTTCTAGTTTTTTGAGGAATCTCCATACTGCTTTACAGAGTGGTTGCATCAATTTTCAGTCCCATCAGCAATGTATGAGTGTACATTTTCCCCTACATCCTTGCTACCATTTATTGTTACTTGTAGTCTTTTTTAAAAAAATATTTTTAGTTGTAGATGGACATAATACCTTTATTTTGTTTTTGTTTTTTATTTATGTAGTGCTGATGATGGAACCCAGTGCCTCATGTGTGCTAGGCAAGCACTCTACCACTGAACCACACAACCCCAGCCCATTACTTATATTCTTGATAATTGTTCATTGATGTGATTTCTGATTACTTTTTTTTTGCCTTTAAAAACAATGTTGCGACAACGTCCCCATACATACGCCATTATGTACTGGTGGTTTAAGTTTTTGAAGATGTTATTCAAAGTAAGGTTTCCTGGATAGGTGCTTTAAATTTTTGAATAGATATTGTAGGTTACTTTTCAAAAATAGTTGCAGTAATTCACACATTCATCATTGATGTGTAGGTCTCTGATTTATAAAAAATGGGAATATTAATACCTATGAATTAATGTGATTAATCACTTGCTTTCACTCTTTCTCCATTCTTAGGGTACCTGCATATAATTATACCCAAAAGACTTTTTCCCCTTTCCTTCTCTATGCTTTCTTGTTACTGGATGAAGCTCCTGAAAACTGATATTTTTCAGCCTTTGTCAGTTGCCTTTCATGTGGAATATGAAATTTGTTGCAGTAGGATCAGCAGTTAAAATGGTTTTCAGCTTATGTAACCTTGGACTTTGGACCAACCTTAAAAGTAAGTGAAAAAGATTTTTGTTAGTCAAAAAGCAAAGCCTTAGAAAAGATGACTGTGACTCTCAGTCTGCCCAGAACAGTCTCTATTTTCATTTGTTGTTGTAGTGTCTTTTCTGTTTAGTGCCTCTTTCCATTTCAAAAGTGCTCTAGTTTATATCGTGTTTTAGTTAGCTTTTTTGCTGCTGTGACTAAAGGATCTGAGCAGAACAACTATAGAGAGGAAAAGTTTATTTGAGGGCTCATGGTTTCAGAGGTTTTAGTCCATAGATGGCTGGCTCCATATCCCAGGGCTTCAGGCAAGGCTGAATATCATGGTGGGAGAAAGTGGTGGAGGGAGGCAGCTCACATGGTGATCAGAAATCAGAGAGAGTCTCCACTTGTCAGATATAAATATATACCTCAAAGCCACGCCATGATTCCCACCTCCTCCAGCCATAACCTACCACTTCAATTACCACTCAGTTAATTCCTATCAAGGGATTAATTCACTGATTGGGTTAAGACTTTTATAACCCAATCATTTCTCCTCTGAACCTTCTTGCATTGTCTCACAGGTGAACCTTTGGGGGATACCGCACATGCAAACCATAACATGTGGTTACCCATCCTAAAGCTAAGAAAATATATTTAAGTCAAGAGGAAAAGGTACAGACTAAAAGTTAAGAGATGAAATTTTTGGGAAAAAAATACTTTACAACTTTACTAAGTGACCAAGTCAGCGAGACTTGAAAAGCCTGCAATATTAAAGAACAAGAAGATGGAAATAATCAATTAAACTTTTCTCCTTTGGCCTGGATGAATGGAGATGAAAACTTCCAGTTGAGTATGTCGGAGAGATTATCCTCGCTAATGTTAGGATGAAGATTTATATAGTGTGCACATTATTGCTTTGCCTTGGGAACCAGAAATGTGAAGTGTTTATTAAGTAGGTTTCTGTTTTTGTTGAACAGGTATTTTTCTCTTATGACTTGGTTCCACTGTATGATCACATTTCTTTGCATAATTTGTGTTTGATATATGTGTGAGTCCTCGTTTTGAACAGACCATATGGGACGCTCCACGAGTGCCCTGGGAACCGAGGTATGCGGTGATTAACCACGGGTTCTGCTATTTGTGCAGCAGATGAGCAGAGCTGTGAAATAAAAGTCATTGCACAATTGTTTCATTGCCCTTATTTTGTCCTTTGTTTGGTGATGCTTTGCTAAGGATAAGAGAGTAAAACAAAATAAGAAGAAATCCCAGACAAGCAAAGAAGAGAAATGGCCAAGAGTGTTCCAGAATAAAATTGAAGAAGGGAGGCTATTCGTTTTATGAACTTGACAGCCCGAAGAGTAAATTGTTTTGTGAAAATGAAGCTAAAAGTAAGGTTGCTCATTTCTTAGGAACCCCAAAGAACTTTTAACTTGTGTGAGGAGGCAATGTAACGGTAACTGGCAGCAATTGGCTTTGTATTTAAATCTGGTTTAAATATTTGTTTAACAAGTATTTTACGTACACAAATTATTGAAGAAAATATTGAGGGGCATCCAAAAAAAAAAAAAACACACAAGAAAACAAAAAACAAAACAAAACAAACAAAAACCCAAACCAAATCAACTGTTTAGCTTTATAGAACTTACACTCTTGTTGTCTTGGGTTTGTGGAAATCATCTGACAAAAGAAGAAAATATCAAGGTGAAATAAAAAGTCAGAATTAAATCCCTACAAACCTTTTACCAATTTATCAGTTTCAAAATGCAATATTTGAAGTTCAAATTTTCTTATCAATTTGTAACCAAAGATAAAATAAATTTCACAGGTCATGTAAGATTCTTCACCTGGTTAGTCCAGGGCTGTAAAATTTGCATAGCTTTCTCTATAACAGGGTTTTTTAAATGTGGCTAAAAAAAAATCCAAATTACTTGGAAATCTTGTCAGCACAGTACCTTCCAGGTCCTTTACTCATGAATCTACATTAGTCCCCTGAGATTTCAGGACAATAAGAGATGACCAATAGAGTCTGAGAAAACTTGGAAACTCATGGTGTACATTACACCACTGTCCTCTCTAATACGAGCAATGATTTTTCTATAGCACATGAACTAGGATTCTCCACTTTGTAACTTCTCCAATGTTCCTCAATTTATCTCACATCTTCTAATAACCTGAGATCTCATTCACTGAGATTCTTACACTTTCCTTGTGAGCAGTGGACAAACATGTCAGTGGCACTTTAGTACTGTGAAAGTTCTGGGTAGATTCTGGATTTTCTAATTTTGGAACTGTTTCTTAGAGAAAGTGCTGCCTCATAGGTGATGCAAAAGCAGTGTAGTATTTTTGTGGACTGGTGTCCTCCATGCTGCAGTGAAGGGAGGTTATTTCAAACACCTGTGTAGCTGCCAGTGTGTGGTGATGTCACTCCATTTCCAGACACACACCATATCTGGTTAATACCATGAAATGTCCGTGGTCCTCCTCCTGCCATCCCAGATCCCCACTTTTCTACAGGTTTCCCCTGTGGAAGATAGTCACTTGAGGCATGTTGATCAAATAATTGGGAGCTGAACTTTGCACCTACTATCTCGTTTCATTTTCACAAGTCCTACTCACTAATGTCTTTCCAGACACCCCAATCTAAACCAAGACCCTTAGTCTTACTCTCTCAAATCTTCTTATGCTTTCACTCTTTAGAGTTTATAAGAGTATAAGACATGAACAGATACAACCCTGACTTTTCACCAAAGTATTACTCAAATCTTTAGTGTCCAGAACACAGTATGTGCCCAATAAATACATGTGGAGTAAAAAAGTAGAATTAAATCCAGCTAAGTGAAATGACAGCAAACTGCTGTGTTTATATCCTTAGAGAACTAAGAATGAGCAGCAAGACTTTTCACCTAAGTGTATTTATCTAGTCACTTTTGGAGTAATAGGTTTCTAAAAATAATTATATAACTATAGAAGAGTGCAACACAAAGTCATCTTAGTTTTATTAAAAATCAAAGACTTTCATTCTTATTTTCTGGACTAGATAGAATGATGGAAAGTCTGTCATTTTTTTTTCATTGAAATGTTAAATATTTTAGTTTATGAATAAGTGAATCATTGAATGTTGTTATAGAATTTCGAGTAGTTTAATGCCTTTCTTTGGAGCATCTGGCTAGGGTGTCTATAAACTATGGCATATTACCATGATAATCCCAGTTTGGTAAAAATTATTCCTGTGTTTTCTCTTTAGGAAAACAAGTAATTAAGAAATGAACATAAAGGAGAGAGCTAGAGAAAAATCATCCTAGAATAGGCTTAATGATATAGTGAATGAAATTTATAGATAAAGGGTATAGTTAGTAATAGAGAATAGATGGAAAAATGAAAGCAACAAAGGCAAAGGGAAGGGAGGCAAGCAAATCCAGGAAAAAACTAATTCAGAAGATCTCATTGGACAAAACAGAGCTACTTTTATCTAAAAGTGGAATTAAATATTATGTTGTGGGAATAGGCAGTGACTCCCCCACTCTTTGCTGGTGGGTGAGCATACGTTTGACTGGGTTGTATAGAAAACTCTTAAGCATGATGATCATCCAAAATAAAACAACAGTTGTTAACTCTCTGTGGGGAAATGAGTTACTACATAAGTTGAACAATTATCCATTTAGCCAATATTAAAAGACCTGATTTAAAATAATTGCCCATACTTCAGGTTGAAATTTAATTTGGTTACATCACAGAATTACCTCAACAACCTCTGAATAAAGGTCACTAATGACATTGTGAAGGTATAAACTGCTAATTAATACTTTATGCTGAAATTGAGTTACTTAAGATTTTGAAGAAATGTTCAATGAAATAGTAATGGGTACTAAGATTTCAAATTACTTTGTTTTCAAAAGGTAATAAAACCCAAGGAGGAAATTTAAGCCGCTAACTTTAAAAGTCTGTTTTAGAGAAAATAGTGTTAATTAGATAAAATTTCCTATTACCCTTATAATGCATTCTTTGATTAAATACAAAGAACTTAAGACCTGGTGCTGGTATGCTTGGTTTTTCCTTCAGAAGTTTTGAGGAAATGAAAGAAGTAGTGAGAATAAAATTTCCTGGTTCCTATGTTCTAAATTCCTCTGCTAGCAGAGTGAATGAGAATGAGATCACCATTGGTCAGGGAGATGGTAAGGACACTATGTTGAATGTTGGTTGGGGTGGAGGAACTAGATTCCAGAGGCAAAGCTCTTTTGGCTGGAATTCAATTTTTTTGCAGGTATCAGATCCAGGTGAAGCAGAAACAAAGAAGTGTGCTGCAGAGAGAACCAAGTACAACACTTATTGATGTACAACATTGTATGACAAGTGCTATGATGTGAATTTTCATATGTATTATAAATTTAATATGCGCAATAATCCTCAAAGGCAAGTAAGGAGACTATGTCTACAAATCATAGACATTTGATTGATAATTTCTTAAGTTCATGTGTTAGAGTGTAGATGTGTGTTCAGCACTACATGAAGTTCATGCTTATTATTATCAGTGTCTTACTCTGTCTTCCTCGGAGAAGTAAGAGTGTCTGAAATATGGTAGAAAAAATTACAAGACATCTTAAATAGAGGCAGTTTGAACATGACTAGTCTGTAGCTGGAAGCTACTAACATTAATAAAGATTATTTTCAGACTTTAATTCATTAAATTTCTCATCCATTCAACAGATCTGTATTTACTGAATGTTTACTATGTATTAGACACTAAGCTAAGCTCTGTGGTGAACAGAGCTATGTTCCTTATTTTGGCTAGTAGTATCATCTAGAGTGAGAAGCTAACTGGTAGAAGAAATTCATGTATCAAGAAAAGGAATAAGAAAGTACATACAAACTGTTGGAACTGAAAGCGATAGTAATTTTAGATAATTACAATCATTGGCTAAGAACTTAAGAATTCCATAGATTGTAATCTATGATTTGTTTGTTTTAATTTAAACAGGCTGAGATTTAATTACTACATGATATTAAAGCCAGATTTTAATTTCCTTTATTAAGCAAATCTACGAATTTCATTTAAAAAAATCTCTGATGCATCCATAACGGAAAGATAACAATCAGGGACTCTTAGATGGGAGAAAAGGAAAGTGTATCATTAGTCAACAGGTATTCATGGATGTTCTGCTTTAGTGAAATCTTCAAATTTAAAGGCAATTAAAGATGATTTTAAGTCTCCCCAAGTTTTCACATGCAAAATTACACAGGTTTTGCTAATTCATTTAGTTCACCTATATTATCTTATATTTTTACCCCTATTTCCCTACTGGAAGTGAGGAGTTCCTAGAGGCTGGCATCTCTGTCCTGTGATTTAGTCACCTTATAATTTGGTTATCAATGTTAGTGATCTATAATCTTTATTACTTGTTTTGTTTTGGCACAGATGAGGACAACAGCCTAAATCCTGTGGCTCTCTTTTTCCTTTAATTTCTGAAGTTTCTTTTAAAAAAAAAATATATATATATATATTTTAGTTGTAAATGGACACAATATTTTTATGTGGTGCCAAGTATCAAACCCAGTGCCTCACACACTTGAGGTAAGTGCTCTACTATTGAGCTACAGCCCCAGCCTTCTGAGGGGTTCTTTGAAGCACAATTTGGAAACTATCAATCTAGCTAAATGGCCAAACTTACTAGAGTTACACCAGGGTTGACAAGGAAGAAAATAATCACAGAGGTCAAAAAACCAAACTAATATAGTTTTCAAGTACTTACACTTCCTTGGCATTGTGCTAGATAAAGATGCTTATAACCTACATAAGGAAACAAGTCATATACACAACTAAAGCTAGGCAGAGTGAGATTATTTCAAAAGATGAATTTCAAAATAGTTAACATAGACAATAGTTAACATGAGAACTCATGAAAAGAACTCATGAAAAGTTTCACTGAGTGAAAAGGGGCGGGCCTACTATCTAACATCTGACACAGTTTTTTTTTAAATTTTTATTTATTTATTTTTTTAGTCATACATGACAGTATAATGCATTTGACATATAATACATACATGGAATGTACATACATCAATCATATTGTCTATTCTATTCTGCTGTCCTTCCTATCCTCCCTACTCCTCCCCTCCTCTCCCATCCTTTCTCTCTATCCAATCTAATGTGACACACTTTTTTTTTTCTTTTTCTCATCACAACATCTTATATGTATTCTGTATAACAATGAGGTTCTCCTTCCATCTTCTGTGAAACTCCCCTTCTCCCTCTTTTTCCCTCCCACCTCTCTTCCCTGTTTAGTGGTAGTCTTCTTCTCGTGCTCTTCCTCCCTATCCCATTTTGAGTCACCACCCTTATATCAGAGAAGACATTCGGCATTTATTTTTTAGGGATTGGCTAATTTCACTTAGCATAATCTGCTCTAATGCCATCCATTTGCCTGCAAATGCCATGATTTTATTATTTTTTAGTGCTGAGTAATATTCCATTGTGTATAAATGCCACATTTTTTAAATCCATTCATCTATTGAAGGGCATCTAGGTTGGTTCCACATTCTAGCTACTGTGAGTTTTTTTTTTTTTTAATAGAATGTTTAGAAAGAAAGAAAAGAAGGACTGGGAGGATTTGTGACAATTATGGTTGCTTTGGGAGTGTATCAGGAAGACAGTCACAGTAAGTGACTTAGAGACCACATTT